CTTGGTGTCCATTTGGATAGACTGCTTACTTGGCGCAAGCACATCGAAGCGAAGAGAACTGAAACTAAAAGCTATTAATCTGCATTGGCTTATAAACGTCTGTTCACCACTAAAACTGGAGTACAAAGTAATCTTGTACAATGCATTTCTCAAACCAATTTGGACATATGGCTTTGAACTATGGAGAAACGCTTCCATTAGTAATTTAGAGTTAATCGAGAGAGCTCAATCGAAGATCCTGAGAACCATCACTGGGCACCCAGGCACATACGGAATGAAAATATGCGGAAAGATTTAAGTGTGGGATCTGTTAAAGATGAAATCGCCAAGGTGAAAGCAAAGCACCAGCTTAAGCTTCGGAACCATCCAAATAGACTTGCGCAGAATTTAACTTGGCAGGCTAGCCATACACGACTCCGGCGAAGAGACCTCCCCACACAGCAATAACAGTTAGGGACGTAATTAAAATATTTAATTGTATTTAATTAAATAACTATGTATATTAGATTAAGATTTGAATACTTATCGTAAGTCTCCGAGAGAGAACGAGTCGATAAATAAATAAAAATTAAAGAAAGTCGAGTCGATATGAACCCAAAGATCTCAGCAAGTAAAAGAGCAAGAATAACCAAACTTTGTATCCAGATTCTCCTAAGTCCGAGAAAGGACGAGTTTATTTTTTTTTTTCATTTCCCCCCGCTACAGAATTTCGTCAATAGCGTCCACATTTCAAATGCTACCTAAACCAAACTTTGCACATAATAATATATATAATTATATACTGTTGTTTAAAATTTTATCCAATTCGGTCAATTATAAGAAAAGTTATTAGCGAAACAAATTCTCTCCAGTACAACCCCAAACTGCAACAACAAGTTCGCTCTTCTTCTTCTTTTTTTTGCTTCTGCTATGGGCGCATATACCTCAGTGTCGGAAGTTTACCTGGGTACAGGGTATTTCACTGTCGGGTTTGCTCGACTGTAGCGTTCTCTCTTGTTTTTTTTTTTTTAATTTTCTTAATTTTTATACTCTGTACCTAAAGGTGCACCAATGTACACAGAATTCCTCCGCGATGTCAAGTTTGGAAATAATAGTCTCCTTTGTGGTTCCCTTTGTAATGCAGAGTACAGTATGACAAGGTTTAGTGCCATAGAAGGCGCGAATGTTGGACCAGATTTTAGTACTAGGAGTTGTGGGGTTGATCTCTAAAGTGAAAGATTTATAGAAGGCGCGCTTTGCTAATTTTAGTCCCCCTTTGAAGGTAGCATTCGCTTTTTTATAGTTCATGATGTTTGTTGTAGAAATATTTTTCTTAGTAACCGCCAATGCTTATTTTGTATGTCTCTGAGATGTTGTAGGTTGCTGTTCCACCACGGAACATTTAATTTAGATAGTTTGGTAAGTTTGCTATTGCATTGGAGAAGAGAAATGGTGATAGGGAAGTGGTCGCTGCCGTAAGGGTAGTTTGCAATCCTCCATGAAGATTCAAGAGCAATTGAGGGAGTTGTTAATGATAGGTCTATATGAGTGAGGGAGCTGTGGGTACTGAAATGGGTGGGAGAGCCATCGTTGAGAATTACGAGGGGTGATTGGGTTATGCTTTTCCTGAAGGGATTTTATGGAGTTTATTTTTAATTAGAAGTTGGAGTTGGTCATAATTATTGATATACTCGTTGATATTCCATTGGAGTATCTTAAGCATAACCATATATTGATTAAAAAGGAGTGTAACAGAAAGTAATTGTGCTATTATGGTGAAAGTGAATATGTCTGATTTAGGGCTAGAAGTTGAGGTGTTAGAATTGGAATTTGATTTTGCTTTTTTTAAATTGATGGAATTTGGGGAATTTGGCTTCAAATTTAATTAATTAATTAATTAATTAATTAATAATTAATAATTAATAATTTTAATTTAATTTTAGTCGGAGGCGCCGAGGGCGTAGAGGCCGATGAGGGCGTCGTAGAAGCGGTGGTGTCACTAGGTGGGTTGAGAATGTCGGCATAGGAAACAGGATGGCGAGGTTGTCGAGATGATGATGTGTATCTCGAGAAAAATGAAGAGCTTGTGGAGTTGTAACGCTCGTTATAAATTAAGTTCGATTTTTCATCTCCGTTTTCTGCGATGGTAATTGAATATTTTGCTTTCTTTGCAACTGATACAGCATTTGAGATTGCGGCATGCTTCATCCTGATCAGCGTGGGTAGCCAACATTTAGGTTTGAAGGGAGATTAAATAGTCCAAGAGTTTCAGGGTAAAAGGGTATATTAGTTTTGTGCGAGTGTACATGGAACACACAGAAGAATCTGCCACGCCTCCTCCCACAAAGTATATATATATATATATTCTTGATCAGGATGACAAGCCGAGTCCAGTTGAGTGAATTGTTTTTCCCATCTTCGCGGCTTTCTCCACTTTCGCCAAGAACGTCTGCTGGTCTGCGTCAGGTCATTCCTTCTTGTCATCTGACAATTTGTACAAAATTAATGGAGCCTCGCGTACACAAATTTGTAAACAAGAGCTCAATGAAAACAAGTCCGTTTTCAACAGTATCACTCAGTTTTCCCATTAGGTATTAGGTATGTATATATATATATATATATATATATATATATAAGCATATTTAAGCATATTTTCTTTATTGGCATCCATGTACTTGTATAATTAATCTAACAAATGAATCGACTTGGTAATAATTGAGACATAACTTCTTGAGAAGAGTCCGAAATTTTCAATAAGTCCAAGCATAAATAAGTATGTCCAATATTTAACGAGTACGAAATAAAACAAATTACAATCGACTAACTAAAAATTCCCAACCAAATACAGGAAGTTAGAGTAACGATTTAAAAGTCAATGCCTGACGCAAGGAAGTTTTTCGAAAATCGAAACATACATATGTACATACAGATGTCACAATATTACTTTACTAGCAGGTCTTGCCCGTCTTTGCTGGGCTAAGTAAAATGTGCTTATAATTATAAGTTTATTTACTATATGATATTCTGCTTTCGACGCTCTCTAAAGTTTTTTAAAGAGTTCTTTTTCCAAATAACAAATATAGTATAATAAGTACTATGTTTGGTTATACGTACATATGTACATACATATGTACATATCTTCGTTACGCACCGGGCGGACTGCCAGTCCTGACATAACTGTGTGCTTCCTCAGCACGTTGCACGCCCGGTCGAGTTATCCCCGAAAAGCCCGACGCGGGATATTTAATTTTGATTTATAAATCGGGACGTCCCGCCAAAATTGGAGCGTTCGGCAACGCTGATATGTACATACATTTAAATTTTTCATGTAGGCGTTATCCGCTTATATACATACATACATACATATATAAGTATGTATTACATTTTTTAATTCAACACTAATTTGTGTCTTCAATTCCAAATATGATTGTTGTGAATGTAAAAGGTGTGTTTCTGCTTTTGTAAATCGCATGAATACACTCACAAAATAAACTTAACGGTAAATGACTCAGATTTGTTCAGAATACATTTGTAGCGTTGTTAGCTAACACTAAAACGGTAAGTCGCTGTAAATATGCGATCAGCTGAGATGCTAGAGATGGGCATGTGTCGGATGCTCTATGTGCTAAATTAACAGGCGTAAATGTTTTTCGTTTTAAAAATTTGATTTAAAACCATAGAACATTATTTATTACAATCAAACAATAGTGCTCGATTGTCCAATGTATACATACATACGCACACATACCGCACACATAGGCACGAACTGTTGCTTGTTGTGTGTGAGTGTGTGCATGTGATGTCCCCAACTATTTGATATTTTTTGTTGCTGCATAAAGTTATTAATGAAAACACTAATGCCAAATGCACTAAACAAAGAAAAAATTACTTTTAAAAATGTTATATAATTTTCAATTAATTAACATTTCTTGCTCTGTCAGTGCAAGACGAATGTACATACATACATATGTAGATACATATGTACATAGATGTGCACATACATATGTATCTATGGACATTCACACATTAGTGTCTCACATTTTGCTTTGACTATTTCAATCGTTTGCACGCAACTACACGAACAGCTGTTTGTATGTGTGTGTGTGTGTGTGTGTGTGTATGTATACTTAGTTGTCCCCAAATGTTTGATATTTTGTATTGTTTGTTCTGCCTGCATTTGTAAAATGCATATTTTGAAAATCCTTGAACGCAAAGTTGTAGATTTAGTTACGTAGATTACATTACCCAAATCGATCGGACTAAATTTATAACACAAACTTTTCATTTGAAATAGTGAATAAATATTAAAACCCCAATAATTCAAGCTCCAACAGTATGCAGTTTTGTTTGTATTCTTTAATTGATTTCAGAAACCAAATTTTATGTCGATCGGCTAAAAAATGCGGATTTTTCAAACAAACTTTGGATCTCGTTTTCCCCCCTTTGGAGCTCGAATTTTCCAAAATCCCTTCTTAGTGCGCATCTACACCATGATAGGATACTTGAGCCCAAATTTCAGCATCCTAGCTTTTACCCTTTGGGCTGTGGGCTGTTGACGCGGTTTCCTTTTGTGCCCCAAGAAAACCCCAATAATTCAAGCTCCAACAAAAAATTTAAAAACCGAGTATGCAGTTTTCTTTGTATTCTTTAATTGATTTTAGAAACTAAGTTTTAAGTCGATCGGTTGAAAAATGCGGATTTTTTAAAAAAAAATTGGAGCTACTTTTCCCCCCTTTGGAGCTCGAATTTGCCAAAATCCCTCCTAAGGAAACTCCCATATTTCAGTCCCCAAAAAAAAATTTCAAAAAACTAAGTATACAGTTTTTCTTCTGAGAGTATACAAACTAAGTTTGAAGTTCATCAGATGAAAATTGTAGATTTTCCCCCCTTTGGAGCTCGAATTTTCCAAAATCCCTTCTTAAGTCCAAATTTTAGCTTCTTAGCTTTTACCGTTTGGGCTGTACGTTGATCACCAATCAGTCAGGCAGGACAAACTGTTTTATATATTACTCTATACTTACATGCGTGTGTTGATCTTTCAGTTCTAAAATGAACAGTTGAGGCAAACCACCATTGAATCCTTCACTACATGTTACCGAAAGTGATGTCATGGATATATTTAATAACGTGCAGTTATGCACTTGATCGGGCCGACCTATAAGTATGATTAAAATGTTTGTTGATTAAATTAACTTTAACTTAATAGACAAAATAAATGAAATGTAAAGGCTAGCCAAATTTAGCATAGAGAAAAGACAAGTTTGTGTCTTTTTCGATACATTAATAAGGTGCGCGAAATAAGTAAGTAGGGCAAACACATTTATTGTTGTTGCATCTGCACTATGCATTTTTTGCATTTCATCTTCCCACCATAATTTGTTTACTCTTTGCTCTCAAAGTGGCATATAAAATATTTGATAAGAACCGTTAGGTTGTCCCGTTATGCCTATTAATAGCCGGACTACATCACTTTTGCGTGCGAAATAAGTAAGTAGGACAGTTTAGTCTTTGTTGTGATGCAGCTATTGTAACACGTAAGTTTCCAGATTTTTGAATTAAATTTATCGTTAAACGATAAAACAAATCAAAAGAAGTAAGTTTTTATAAAAACCACTGTTTTTCAGAGGAATAATACGATTTTTTTGGTAAAGACATGTCGGTTTTCAGCCGTTTAACTGATGAAGACCGTGGTCAAATACAGGCACTTCGAGAAATGGGTATGTCGATTCGGAAAATTTCGGAGAAAGTGCGCAGAAGTAAACGTACTGTGGAAAATTTTCTGAAAGATCCACAAAATCATGGTAAAAAGCCACGTTCTGGTCGACCACCACTAATAAATTCTCGTGAGGTTCGAAGAATGAAATCCCTGGCGGTCAACGAAAATATTAGTGCCTCACAGATTCGGCATGAATTGTCTCTTCCAGTGTCCAGTAGACGAGTACAACAAATTTTACAGTCCTGTGAAAACATTTCATATGAAAAAAAACTCCTTAAACCAGAACTACTTGCTCGACACAAAGCAGCTCGGGTGCAATTTGCCGACTCGTACAAATTTTGTGACTTAGAATGGCGGAATGTTATATTTAGCGATGAAAAAAAAATTTAACTTGGGCGGCCCGGATGGATATCGTTATTATTATCGCGATTTACGTAGTCCAAAGAAAGTCCGCGTATCGAGAAATTTTCATGGTGTATCTCTAATGATTTGGGCCGCGTTTGGCTATAATGGAAAGTCTCCTATTTGTTTTGTGACACATTCCATGAATGCCGAATATTATGTTGAACTGTTAGATTCAGTTTTGGTAAACTTTGGGGAGGAATATTTTGGAGATGTATGGACATTTCAGCACGACAATGCGAGAATCCATACTGCAAAGCGCACACAAACTTTTTTTGCGGAACACAAAATTCCAGTTTTGAAGTGGCCAGCTCGAAGCCCTGACCTGAACCCTATTGAAAACCTTTGGGGCATTTTATCTCAGCGAGTGTACATAAATGGAAAACAATACAATTGTCTAAAAGACTTAAAAGAATCCATTATTGAAGAATGGGGCAAATTGGAAATTTCTATCCTTCAATCTTTAATAAATTCTATGCCAGGACGAATATTGGACGTGTTAAATAAAAAAGGAGAGTCAATTTAAACTCTACATATTAAATTAAGGCGTTCTCTTAGAAATAAAAATCAAGAAGTACGATTTTTTACTTTGTCCATATTAATGCCATATTAATAATCGAAAGATTTCCGCGTGTCTTCAATTAATAACTAGTTAAATATTGTTTGTTGCAATCGCTAAAAAGCTAGCGATTTTTCATTGGCGCCCGAGCAGGGACTTCGGTTTTCTTAAAATTATTTTCTCGTTCGTTAGCGGGCTTTGTGGCTTGGTTTTTGTGCGCGGTCGTGTGATTGCTACTCGTTTGTTTGAGGCTGGTGTCGATTGGATACCATCCTGCTACATTTATTTGGATTTGAAGCTTGGTGCCTTGGTGTTCTGGATACCATCAACTACAACTGCTCGTTTGGACTGTGGAGCTGCTGTCTGCCCTACTTGTGGTACTATCGTTTGGCTTGGCTGATGGGTGATCGTCGCTCGGAATCCAGGGAAGTTTCGGTGGACTCTTTTGAGAGCTTACAAGTATTCTCTGCCAACAATTGAGCATAAAGCTCTAAGAAGTTTAATTGCTGCAAATTTGTGCAAGCGAAAGTTGTCTAAAACCTAGTCACATACGTACATACATACATATGTATATATAGTACGTGTATGCTTATGCGGGCTCAATTTTTGGCACTTCAACTATTCTGTTGAACAACTTTACATGCACAAATACATAATCATACATATGCATGTGTATGTATGTACATGCCAATAACCACATATTATATACATACATACGTCATACCTTGCACAATTTAACACATTATACACCCTCATAAACATAATTATTAACAAAACCTCGAGGCAAAACAAACAACAATAATTAAAAAAGGGCTGTTAAGCTGATTTTTAACATAAAAAACAAATATTTTGAAGTTATTTGTAGTTACATTGTGTTGGTTATTTCGGTAGATGTTTGTTGCATCAGCTGCATACATACAAACATAGCTTTGTTGTTGCTTGCGCCGCTAGCGTAGCAAAATAATTTATACTCTGTACTTGAAATGTACAAGAGTATATTAGGAAACAGGCAGAAGGAGGCGTGGCAGACCCCACAAAGTATATATATTCTTGATCAGCGTGACAAGACGAGTCGATCTAGCCCTGTCTGTCTGTCTGTCCGTCCGTATGAACACCTGGATCTCAGAGACTATAAGAGATAGAGACACAAAATTTTCCACAAAGATGCCTTATGTGTGTATTCTATACGAGTTTGTTTTATTTTTTTGATTTTCTCCCACTTCCCCCCTATGGGGGTTTTCCCGATTTTCCATTCGTATAATCGCCTATATCTCGGAGACCATAAGACCTAGGAACACCAAATTTTAGTCCAAGGTGCCTTGTGTGAATACGCAGAAAATGTATATTTTGGAATTTCCCTCCCTCCCCCTCTCCCCCACAAATTTTCTCTAACTCCCGTAATTCTTGGAATTTCGAACTAAAATTTTGCAAATACCCCCAGTTAGTAATTATGTGTCCGTATGCCAAGTTTTACTATGATAGACCGATTTACCAAGAAGTTATAGCAATAAATATATTTGCTGCTGCAGCGCTGCTCAAGCGCTGACCGCGGCTGTTGTTGATGTTGCTGTTTGGTTGACTGCGAAAATGCTTACACAGACACGAATAGATGCGCATAGGCATACATACACTCACACAGACGCAATTGCTATGTAAATGTGCAATTATACACCCCTTACGTGAGTTCGAATACCGAGAATGGTAAAATCGATCATTGAATTTTTTTTTTTATTTTCTTAATTTTTTTTATTTTCTATAATTATTGTAAACATATGTTCAGAGTATTTCAAAGTCGGGACACCCGACTTTAGCTTTTTTACTTGTTTCGGCTACACTTGTCGCTGGGCCAACGAACTTCCCCCCGTATTGAGTGCGTGTGTACGTAATCTGCGTGCATTTCAGTTTGTCTCTTGCTGTTTTAGCGCGTTGCCTGCGCTTCAGGCAGATTTGGATAGTCTCAATCGAAGTAACGATAGTAGAGGGCCACTTGAGGATTTGTGCATTTCAACTAAGGCGTTCTATGTGAAGGCAACGAAACAAAAAGTTGAAAGTCAGACTTCTCATGACTGTTCTATGTTGGCCAGTCAACGGTCACAGTTAGCCAAAATGCGGCTGCCTACATTCAGTGGAAAGCATGCCGAATTTAAGAATTTTATGTGCTTATTTGAAAGTCTAGTTCATGACGATCCTACGTTGACCAACGTCGAGAAGTTTAACCATTTGGTGTCGTGCTTGTCAGGTGACGCTTAATGGAGTTGTGAAACCGTTCCAGTTAACGGACTGCAACCACTCGAAAGCCATTGCTAGCCTCAAGTCTGTACGGCAACAAATGTTTGATATTTTTCGACACTATCTCGCAATTGTTCGACATCCCAAGTATGACCAAACCTAATGCGTCTAGTTTGCGGTCCATCATTGACACTGTTTCTGCCATTTATGCGTCTTTAACTTCGTTGGAAAGTGAAAAGGACATCTCAAACGCAATGATCATACATATGGTTATGGCCAAAGTTGATCATGTAACCAAATCTCGTTTTGAGGAACAGCTCGATTATGACAAGTTGCCTTCTTGGGATGACTGCGCTAAGCAGTTAAATAGACGTTACCAATATTTAGCGGCTGAAGAGACAACTCGGGTTCCAAATAAACCGCGAGTAGAACCTGCAAGAAACAGCAAAGCTTCGTTCTCTTGCACAACGGGTCCTTAAAAGCCTTCAAAACCGATCTTGAAGTGCACATACTGTAGTTCTGCGGAACACAATATTTATACTTGCCCTTATTTCGGATCTATTCCCGTTATGCAGCGATTTGAGTTCGCCAAGACTCAAAAAATGTGCCTCAATTGCTTGAATGTGGGTCATGTAATTTCCAGTTGCAAAGCTTCCAAGTGTCGGGTGTGTTCAAAACCACACCACTCGTTGTTGCACAGATACTCTGTAGCTGTGCCAAACTCACCCGTTCTACAAGCGGTTGCACCTCCAGAAGCATATTTAGGTCATGTCTTGAGTGCCGATCAAGTAATTATTGCCACAGCATTGGTGAATATTAGAGATAGATTCGGCCAATACCATCCTGCACGTGTGTTGCTTGACGGCGGCTCACAATTGAATCTCATGACTGAGAACCTTGCGCAGCGCTTGCGACTAAAGCGTGAAGACACGGCAGTGAGTATTGCAATGGCAGGTGGGACCACAACTGATAGTAAGCACAAGGTGTGTGCTGCTATTCAATCTCGTTTGAATGCACACAACTTTGCCACTGATTTTTGGGTTCTTAAATCCATATCCACTTGTCAACCTTGTTGTCAAGTGGCAAGAGCTGTGGCGATTTAAGATGTTAGTTGCTGCTAAAGCAACAGATTTGGGTGATAAGTACTCGGAGGTCTTGCTCAGGAGTTTTACATAACTGCCTTCGATGCAAGCCCAAGTTAGTTGAGCAAATAATGAGAAATTTGCCAGGTGATCGCCTTCGAGAAGGT